ACCTAAACACATAATTAAACCTCCTTTTAAAAATACAATAAATTATATCCAAAGTTACAAATTAAAATCTAAGAAAAGAATTAAATGAATAAAATAAAAAAATGCATTTTTAAACACTAAAAACATATTTTAGCTCTTACCTCTTTGAAAATTATAATTTTATTTAGTCTACCTGATTTTGAGCCAATGTGATATCAATGTGTTAAATTTGATCTATTATAAAAGACCAGTTTTTAATTTACAAAAAATAAAAATAAGGTTCAATCGAACTAGTATCACTTAAATATTTTATTTTTTATCAATATTGAGTCTCACTTTCGTCATATAAAATCAGAACACGTATAAGGACAATAAATTTTTCTTCTATCAGTAAGAGATTTTATTCGTGGTAGTACAAAATAAATTATACTTAAATTAATACATTTTGTTAGTATAGTATGTATATAGAGATACAATTATTTTAAAATACATATGATATAATATTTTTTAATGGGAAGGGATTAACTTCGTCCACAACAAGTAAGTTCTATAACTTTCATTTAATAGTTTTTATACAAAACAAAAAAATAATAAATTTTTTTTATGCTATGAGATATCATCTTAATATTTATAAATATTTTCTTACATGTATATTTACGTATATGTTAAATTTTATATAAATTTCATTTTCATATATCTGTCATGTATCCAGAATAGTAAAGTAAAATTGATGAATTGAAATAGTAAATAATTCTGGAAAAGTCGTAGTTAGAAACTAAAATCAGTCATTAACAGTAATAAACGTAGAAAAATACAATTAAATTTTTTTAATGATACTTAAGCTTAAACCTTGTACAAATAAAACTGTACTATTACAGACGTTTAATGCAACAACCACAAAAATAATTTTACAATGAATGGCTTGCACTGCATCATTAAATCTTGCATTAACTAGATAAATGAATATTTATGTTAACGTTAGGTTTTAACTTTTATATCATGTGATAATTAAGATATATTAATAGTTTTTATATACATATGGGTATAGTTAGATATTTACTAGATTGGAGAGGTATGATGATGACACGTGTCATACATGGGCAGTGATCATTTAATAGGATCATTAAAAGTAGATTGGACCATATGACAATGCTAGAGCTGGCAGTGATGAAGGAAAATTAAAGGATGTGTCCCCATTGTCCCTTCAAACCTTCCCTCACACACCACACACCCTCATTTAAGTTTTCTATTTTAGCCTCTTTTTTCATCACGGGGCCCCTTTTTGGTCTTTTCACCACCACATCATTCAATAACCCCTGCCCCAACCCTAAAGTCCCACTCCCATAAATTGCCCCCTACACCTCCCCAATTACTAAACTGCCCTCCTCTTCAATTGTTCATTGGGGTACCCCCTTTTTTATTTGTTCAACCCTTGTAAGAACAAACTTGGCTCTTGTTATGCCAATTTGGTTTAGCTAGCTCATGTGCTTTTTTCTCATAATAATATCACAATCATATTCAAGGAAATTAGTTCTAGATCAACCTTTTCATATCAAACCCTAATATTTATTCTAGCTCCTTTATGTAAATTCAAAAATATTTTTTATGGTAAGTTATAATTCTAAGCACTATTTTCAATCTCTCAATAAAAAAAATTAACTTTTTAATATATTCTGTATTAATTTTTTATTTTAATAAATTTTTATATAATAATAAATAATTGATAAATTTTAGTGTGTTCACATTGAAATGTTCAAATTCATAATAATACTTAATTAAAATTTATTTAAAAGTATTTGTAATTTTAAATTTTTTCACATGAAAGTTTCTGGGATTCAAGCTCATGTCACTTATTTAGTTGACTGAGTTTATTATCATTCAATTTAATATTAAAACACTTTTTTGTAAATTCTATTGCTCATTATATGAAGAAAAAAAAGGCAAATACTCTTATATTTTTAATGAATTATATGTATTTTATTTTTCAGGAAGAAGTATTGTAAAACAATAATAAATAACTGTATAGGTTAGCTAGTACCGGATCTCGTGCTATAATCCTTATGCTATGTATGAAATGTTGGTCATTTAATAAAATAAAAAGATACTTTTTGATTGGGACCATTTTTATATGATATTGGGCAATTAATGAACATAAATTAATGCAATAACAAAAGAGATTATGAGAAGGTGCATGCCTTCACCATTTAGCAACATGAGATCTTCAATTAGTAATAGCAAAGACCTAACGAAAAATAATACATTATTATTTCCCCATCAAACTAATCCAGACTTAGTCATTATAAGTTCTTTTAATCATTTAAAATAGTATATAAGTATGTTTAATACTTACTAATCATTTTCAGTGTCTTATAAATTTCATTATCTTTTAATATTTCAGTTATATAATGTTAAAGTTGTTTTAATTTTATATTTCAAAATATTTATTTCAATTTTATTATTTTTTATTTAGTCTACGTGTTATAATAAGCTTGTAAAAACATTGGGAGAGATATTAGAAAAATATAAGCTAATATTGAAAGTAAAAATTGGTTTAATAACAATATCATATGAAAGCTAGGAATAGGAAGTTGGATATTTTTTGGAACGTATATGTTTGGATTGATGAAAGCTACGAATAGCAAACAATAACAATGACCAAAGGTGATGTCACGAAATGCAATTAGAGGAAGACAAAAACGACAATTAGGTGGAAATACATACAATGCAAATTCTTAATCGAATCAATATAATATGAGACATTAAGCCAATTATTTAAATTATTATATAATATCCCACACACCAACTGGTAATATAATATTATTTACTTGTTTACGAAAATGTTACAGATTTTTATGCTAGTTTTCTAATAACTTATCTAATATAATGTATATATAACACAATTATGGTTAAGGAAGATTATATAAACTTTAAAAATAATTACATTTTTTAAGTGATTATCAATAAGTAATTTTAAAAATTGGAAATTATTTATGTTTATTTACCATTAAAAAATATTTTTTTAATTAAAAGTTATTTAAATAAGTTACTCTCTAATAAGTTATTTCAATTTTCTTTTACTTTCTTCCAAAAAAAAAATTTAAACAAACATTTTAAAAATATGTCGTATAACTTTTAGTTTTTAAGGAAAATGGTATTTTGACATCAAATTTTCTTTTACTTTCTTTTGATATTATTACTTTTACTATATTTTTCTTTCTCTTTTCTTTTAGAAATACAAAAAGTCACTTTTATTAGTAACTTTATATATATATGTTTCAAAAACCATATTGTATAAATAATTTTTTTTTTATTTAAGATACTTTTCACAAGCCATTTCAAAAACCATCTTTTATAAATGATTGTTTTTTATTTAGGATACTTTTCACAAATAAATTTTGGAATTGGATTTGACAATGAGATGTATATATCCTAATCAGTAATAGCTAATAATGAAAGTTAACGAGTTTAGAAGGAATTAAGTAATTTCTATTAAGGTGATAAGTTGTCAATTTTTTTTTCTAGAACAGTTATCTGCAATATGTACTTATATAAACTATGTTAATTAGAAAATAAAACGGAAGAAAACGAATGTCTGGATTAATAACGTGTAGAGTATTTGGATTAACCACAGATATTAAGAAAAAAAACTCGTAGTCTTAGATAAAAAATATATAAACGTCTGTAAAGTACACAATAAGATGAGAAAGTCACTACTGAAAAAAGAGTCATTTACTTACTATTTTGAAAATTCTACGTTAAAAGTGATATGAATTATTTTATATGAATTTACTCCTTCATTGGTAGTCTTTTATAAGAGTTTATTTACTTATTATAATGATCTTTTGTATGAATTTTTCCTATTTTGTTAATATTTGAATTGCAAAAAATAAGAAGTGTTGAGGTTTAGTGACAGACATGACTAGCTCACCATTTGGTCCTAAAATTTCTGATTAAAGTAATAGGAAAACTCAAAACCAGAAAGGAAGCATTGTTTGATCTCTGACTAGGTTGTAGTGTCCCTGGTGTCGCTAGCAGAAATGATCGCTTTCATCACTCCATTGATCTAGCATCTTTGGTACAGACAAGTCGACAATGTTTTAATCAACAACTTTAATTTGTTCGAAATTTCATTTAGAAAAAAAAGATTTGACGTTAACAAAACACTAGTCCATTAAAGACAAGCTCGAGTGCTAATCTGTTAACATTTGCTTAAATTAATTAGCTTTCGTTTCTGCATATCTTTTTTTTATATCAGTTTTGACAAGTAATCTTTTGGTTGGGATCCCAAAAATACTTACACAAGTGAAAGTTGTTATCATCTGTGATGATTCGAAGAGGCTAATTAACAGAGCTATAAGAACAATATGTTGATTGATTAGAGTGAAAACAGTATCAAACAAAAGCATGTGAGAACACTAACTGAAAGGTAGATAGAAAAAAAAAATCATTCTTAAAGTGACGAACATGGTAAGAGCTTACGAAAGCTGATATGAGGTACGTGAGATGTTTTTGGTGTTGGTCCCCATGAAAGGTTTTATCCGAGAAGGTTTCACACCAACGGAACAAACATTTCAGAAAATATAAACGATAAAGAAGTGTGTATTAATTTGATTATAGTTTATTCGAAAATATATATATATATACACACTATGGAAGTCATTGGTGAAGATTAAAAAGAAGGTCCACATACGCAAAGTCTCCACCCGTGTAAATAATTAAAACTCGTCCTTAGCAACGCCATAAATTCTGAGTAACGTGTCTCTAAAAGAAAAGTGGTGTGGCAATAATAACTCAGTAGCTCGAAGCTGTCAATAGGTTTAAAATTCTACCCCATACGCTATGAAAAGACAACGGAACCACTCAATTTTCATTACTCTCTCCATAAAGACTCACAAATGATGCATCCTACAGCATTCAATTGTAGGTGATGTGAAGGGTATTCTCGTCGTCATCGTAATATACATACATGCACACTCCTCCTCATCATCAACTTAGTTTCTTATCTCATATATTTATGCCGCTGACCTTTCTTCTTTCTTCATTATCTCTTTTACAACTCCAATTCCTTATCTTTCTCTTTCTCTCTCTCTCTCTCTCTCTTTCACCCTTTTTCCCACAGTGTCTGCTTCTTCTCTATACAAAACCACTTCTTCCAAAAATGGGACGATCACCATGCTGTGACAAGGTGGGGCTAAAGAAAGGGCCATGGACTCCAGAGGAAGATCAGAAGCTCTTGGCATATATTGAAGAACATGGCCATGGAAGCTGGCGTGCTTTGCCAGCAAAAGCTGGTAATCTTGTGTATATGTTGATGTGTGTGTATATGAATTAGAATAAAGCTTGTAGTTCACTGTACTGGGATGATATGTGTTCAGGACTTGAGAGGTGTGGCAAGAGCTGCAGATTGAGATGGACTAATTATCTAAGGCCTGATATTAAGAGGGGAAAGTTCAGTATGCAGGAAGAACAAACCATCATTCAACTCCACGCACTCTTAGGGAACAGGTTTTGTATATCTCGATAAAACTTATTTAAATTTCTGTGTCAGTGTTCCTAAAGGTTTTTTGGTGTAGTTGTTTTCTGCGTCAATGAGTTTGAGGAAATCAAGAAAAACAAATAGAGGAGAGAGATTCTTAATAGCAGTATCTCATAACCCCTAAGTTTTCTTGGTATCGCAGAATTTCTCTGTCTTCACATGTGACAAGTTTCAGGTGTTTGTGCTGGGTGTTTTACTGGGATTTTCATTGATTATTTTCACTATTTTAGTCGTATGATTCTTCTATATATGAGTACTGGATTTATGAACTCTCATGAGATTTATTTCTTTTTATTTTTTAGTGAGAAACAGTTATGTATATGTACCCACACCACACATATTTTGATTTTTGAAAATTACAGTAGAATTATGATACTACTGTTTGAATTCTTATACCCTCCATATATATATGCTATTAGACAATAACTCAGTACATGTTTCAACCATTTTTCAAGTTGGAGATATAATTTCTTTGCTTTTCCAACTCCTTTGTTGTTCAGAATGTCTTAAATGCGAGTGTATCTCAATCTCCATAACCACATATACTATCTCACATATGCAACACAGATAACTTTATTTGTGCCCTCTGTCATCCTCATAAATTTACTTCCTGACACCCAATATAGTTTATTCAATATGGTCCTTAAACGCAACAAAAGGATTTTCTTCCTCACCAAGCTAAATCAATGATCCATGAATGTCATTTCTAAATTGGACATCTCACACCTTTTCTAGGTGTCACATTACATATATAACTATATAATATTAACTAAACAAAAATTGCAATATTCGTTAGTGACAGAAAATATACAACTGATGAAATATTAAAATAATTTCAGTATAGTTTTTATTTTATAAATTTAATATTCACAGAAATTATCCATGAAAATCTGGTTCTATACTTTGCACCTATAATCCTCTGGAGCACACAATATTCTCAATCACACTATAGCCTCTTCATCTATTTCTAATTTCTATTCTCTCTTTATCATTTGGCTTGCTCTTTCTTATATGCCTCTCCTTTTACGTTATCCTTCTTGCTAGAGAGGTAGGAGGGTTCGAGAAATATAATCTGATAAGAGGAGAAATATAGCTAAAAATAATAAGTATTCATAGAATATTTGTGGTATATAGACAGAGAACAAAAGATAACAGTAGAACTGTCGAACATGTTCATATATATATATATATATATATATATATATATATATATATATATATATATATATATCTTTGTTATTTATGTAAGTTCATGGATGATTCTAGGGCTTTCGTTTATTTGTATGACATGTTAATATGTTAGTATTGTGAACATGTCTCAGGTGGTCGGCAATAGCAACACATTTGCCAAAGAGAACAGATAATGAGATAAAGAACTACTGGAACACGCATCTGAAGAAAAGGTTAGACAAAATGGGAATTGATCCGGTGACTCACAAGCCCAAGAACGATGCCATTCTCTCCACCGAGGGCCATTCCAAGAGTGCATCCAACCTAAGCCACATGGCTCAGTGGGAGAGTGCCAGACTCGAAGCAGAAGCAAGATTGGTCAGAGAATCAAAACTACGTACCTCACATTCATCATCACCCTCATTGCAGCATTCTCTAATTGGCACTTCTGCATCATCATCATCGTCTTCAGCTCCACTGTTACCCTCTTCAACACGTTCTCTTGATCACGCTTGGAACAATGGTAGTAGTACTAGTACGGTTGCAACGAGGGTCAGTGAGTCCCCCACTTCTACCTTATCTGAGAACAATGCACCGGCAGTTATGACTAGTGTGATTGAGTTTGTTGGTTCTTCTGAGAGAGCGATGGTGAAGGAAGAAGGAGAGCGAGAGTGGAACAAAGGTTTTCATGAAAGCTCCACCCATTTGGGAGAATACAAAGATGGCATGGAGAATTCCATGCCCTTCACGTCTAGTCTGCATGAGTTGACAGTGACCATGGCAACCACGTGGGGTTCCGGCACTACCAGTGCACATGAACATGGACATGTTTCTGAGGAGGGATTCACCAACCTTTTGCTGAATTCTAATTCCGATCACCGGAGTTTGTCGCCGGAGGGTGGTGGAGAGTCTAATAATAATTGTCTCGGTAATGGTAGCGATGGTCATAACAATGGTAACGATAACGAGTTATACGAAGATAACAAGATCTATTGGAACAACATTCTTAATTTGATGAACTGTTCTTCCCCTTCGACTTCACCCATGTTCTGATCGAGTTGCATTGGAACGGGAAGGTAAATAAATCCTTTGCTGAATTTGATCAAAACATGTCTTAAACTTGTGTACCATTTCTGTTATTAGATGTTATGAATATGTGGGGTCTGGTTTGAAATTTACATAGTATGAAATTAATACAAAATTTCAACACCACAAGAGACCAAAAGGAGGGTCCATTCTAGTGTTGGGATTGCTTCAATTGCTGCATCCATCAGACCAAACCAAGGGCTATTGATTTTCTTCAGTGTTGGCATTAGAAGGGAACATATGAACAGAAGAAAGTGTTGGTTTCCAACAGTATGGTTGTATTTTTCTGTCAATGCTTTCACATAGAAAATTGTGTGTCGCTTCCCTACATCATTAAATGTTCATATTATTAAATTGTTTTTTAATATTTGACTTGATTTTTACGTTTGTTTAATTCGTGGTTGAGGATATATATGTTTGATGATAATGGAAGCTAGGTTAGTGTGGTTGAATTAATGACTTTTACTCCTTGGTAATTTCTTTTCCTTGAAATTGTATACGAGAAATATCCAATAATAGAAGTATTTAGTATGGACTTTATCGGTGTTGGTTTTATGTCGCAATCTAACCATTCAAAATTTTTTATTCATTGTATTTATTAGGGTTCCTCTCTACTCCTTTGCTTTGCTGTCATGTGTTATATCAAGCCGAAAACCACAATACCAGCTTCAATTATTTTGGTTCATTTAAATTTATGAGAGCTTTTTTTTTATCTGAACTGCTCCAGAAGAAAACAAATTTTAAAATTGGGTCCTGAACATTTGTCTTAGTTAAAATCGTCTACATCATCTCCTGAGTAACATGAGCAACTTTTTCTCTACATTTTTTTGAGAAATCACATAAATAAATGAATGAATAAAGATATTTTAACATTTAAGAATATTTTGAAACTGTTATTTTTTCACTGATTCATTATTTATTTATTATTATATTGACATCCTATTTTTGATGAAAAAATAACAAATGTATTTTATCAAAATATTGTCAAAAAAATCTATATTAACATTTCATAGATAAGTTATTATTTTACTATAGTAACAATAAGTAAAGAGTTAATACAAAATAAATAATAAAATGAAAATTAAGAGAATAGTATAAAAATACCAATAGTTATTTTCGTTCCTTTTCTTTATCATGTTGACTTAGGTTATAATTTTTGTATTGTTTTCTTTATTTCATGTGTTTTTACTTGTTGCTGTTCAGTCAATTCTTCAACGTAGACGTCGAAGGTGGATTGAAAATATATTCATCAATGTGAAATATAGTATTCCATTGAAAAAAATATTAAAGAAAAGATTTTCAAATTTTGTTTCATGATATCACCAAATCCTAATTGATTTCATTTAAAGAAGATTAAGCAAACTTAAAATATAGCAACATTGATAAGCGTGTATGTAATGTGTAGGGAAAAAATATTTACTATTAACTTAAAAGTTGAAACTATGAAATATCTTAATTGAAATCCTTAACAAGTAATTAATGGATGAAGTGGTAATATTGGAAAGAAAAATAAAAGTTTTTCAAAGGGTGTGATAATAAATAGAGTTTTATTTCTAGTATCTTTTGTAAATAGTTTCCACAATCAATCAGTCAGAACTTATAATAAAATTTAAAATGTTTTCAATCTTGTAAAATGAGTAAATTTTACTTTCTTTTTGCGGTATGTAGAAAGAAAACCTTTGTCTCTAGCTACTTTAAAATTAGAAATAATTGTTTATAATTTCAAGATTATTTGACAATCGAATTTTCAATAATAATATAAGCGATACCGATAATATTTATGGCACAGTATAAGCCTTAAATGTTTTTTCAAGGCTAATTTTTTACTAAAAGCTTGAATAATTTCTATTTATTTTAAAAAAAAATTACATCAATATGAAAATTAAATTGTTCAGGTGTAATGTGAGATGGGCTTCTGCCTACATTATAAGATGGGCTTCTTCTTTAAATGGGTGAAGGCGGCTTCTTCCTGCATCTCTATAAGTTCTTCTTGCACCTCTACACACTTAAAAGTTCCAATTTTACATTATTTTCATTTTCAGTTCCAAAATATACAATCTACAATAAAAACAAATATAGTAGATTTTAGATTCTACTTTACAGAATACAAAGATTACATTTTGAAATGTATGATCCAGAATACAAAGATTACATTTTGAAGTGTTTGATCCTGAATACAAAATTCATAATCCAAATTATACATTCGGAAATACAAAGTAAAAAATACATTTCACAATGTGAAATCTGAAACATCTTTTTGAGGAAGAAGATGAATGGGGGAGAGACCGACGAAGGAAGAAAGTGATGAGTGGAATGAAAGTGAAGGAAGAAGATGGGAACACCGGTAGAGGTGGAGGAGGAAGAGGAAGAGGAAGAGGGGTGCTCCCATGGAAGAGGAAAAAGATAAAGATTAATTTGGCCTATGTTGGGAACATGCTTCTTCTGTAAGTTCGAGAATATTTCTTTCAGCATTGCAATTATAGAAAATCTAAAATACTTGTAAACTGAACCACTTCACAAAAATGTAACTGAACCGAACTGTTTCAATGCAATTTTGTTGATATTATTTTATCCGAAAGGTTCAATTGTCATCATTAAGTTAGATTCAATTTTGGATAGATTCAGTTTACAATTTTATTCAGACCAACCCATACATCATGGCCACCTTAGAAGAGCTTCTGGTCATACACCATCTCGAACACTTAGGCAGAGATGAAGATAAAAAATAGACACATGTTCATTTACTGCAACGTACTTTGTGATTGGGTTGAATTGCCTTTCTTTTTCCCTTTACTATTAATATTCTATGGACGGAAAACTTGGGAGAAAGGTAAAGAAATAACAGCAAACTAGCAGAAAAACTACCATCTTCTGATTCCAGGTGTTGGGTCTATGAAAAGAAATACATCATCAATAAAACCTGAGTCCAACTTCCCCCTATTCTTTATCCAAAATTTTTATCTAAAACCTTAAAAACAATAGATTAATGAATCATCTTTATAAAATGTTCTATCCAGATTACATTACAGATGCGTAAGAGAACTTGTGACAATGAAACATAATCATTCACACTGCCAAAACATAATCTCAAAATTCCAAAGCCTTTTTAAGCACTTTCAGATTGGGATTCCATAGGTAAATGGCAATGGGGGCATCGCAAGAGGGCAAAATTGACATAAAACACATCCTATGCCACCCGTCTTGCGGATTTCCATGTCCATTCAACTGAAAAAATCCTTTGAGTAAGAAGGCAGACAAACAAAACCATAAGCTAAAGCTCAATTTTGTATTAAACTTTAAAACAGAATACTTTGTTTCCCATTATGATTAAAAAAGAAAACTCAAATAACAAACAAAAGGGTTCAACAAGCACCACAATAACTCAATGGAAAAGACCCCTTTAGTAGCATGCAACACAGGCACAGAACATGATTGGTCCAACTTCAATCAACCTATAACCCTTTGAGAATTAAAATCCAAACATGGTGCTTATGTACGGGCGATACAGGCAGCTCAAACATTTGAAGTCAGTTCTGCAAAGCGGTGCCCGAAATTCATTGTTGCACATCAATTAGGCAACTGGTGATATTAAACCCTCACAGAGCCTTAGTACCAGTGCAGTGAAGATAATGGAAAACAGAACCACCAAATCAAAAATCGCTAACATTCAAATCACATAAAATAAAGAAAAAATTAGAAAATCAAAGAAAAAAAAACTGAAAAAAAAATGTCCCGATGCAACATATGCATACAGTAGAACAGATCGTTGAAAACAGACATTATTCTCAAAAAATAAGAAAATATCATCAAATCAAATGCTGAAACTGCATAACTTTAGTACTTTAGAAGTGAAACACCAAGAAGTAGGTCATTTACCGCAACCAGGAGCGGCTACGGAGCAAATAAACAAGTTCGTGTGACATAACGTCATGACGTCGAGAAACAGGGTTTCAATTTATAGGAGCGAGGGAAAGTAAGTTAGGGCATCGCATGGAACCCACCCAAGATGCATTTGGGTCCGAGAAAAAGATCAACGGTTGATAAGGTTTGATGATGGAATTCACTTATCATTTACCGAGGACACGTGCTTTTCTAATTTTATTGATGAAATCAGCGGCTCAGATTGGACGTAGGGAAAATTGTACTAGAGCATGTTTTCTTATTAGTTAATATATCGGTTCTTGTATGGTATATATGTTAAGAAAAATAATTTGATACGTTTTTGTATTGAAATTAATTTATTAATGTGGTATTTATTATAAAATTACATAAAATAAAAAATAGATTAAATCCCAAACTGTTATAAATGATAAGTTTTGACTTTTATAAAAATCATGCCAATAAAAAATTATAGTTGTTAGATAATCTACACTTTAAATACATGTCTATTAAACCCTTTAAACAGTAATAACAATTTTCAAATGATACTCTTAAAAACAAGTTTTATATTACTGATGACCTGTTCAATTATATATACTGCTATTTTTTTTATAAAAAACAGAAAACATTTTGGGAAAGCAATCCAAAAAAGTGACTTCAAATATAATCGTACATTCAACTTTTTTAATTCATTAGCGTCAGTTTAGTGGATCATTAAATTTTAGCTTAGTACAATTGTTATACATCACACAAAAAAAAAAGGTTCTTTAGTCCTGAAAATTAAAGTGATCTAAAAAAAAGGAATGTTTGATTTGTTCTCTCTTTCTTTTCAAATAAAAAATAAAAAAGTCATATGGTTAGAAAACACGATTTCACGTATCCACATCCAAAAATCAAATGATTACGATAACAAGATAAAAATTACGATGACAAGAATAAAGAGAACATGCAAAAACTAGTAATTGATTTTATATTTCATCCTTCCCACACAAATATTATATAACTTTTATTGTACATAAAATTAAAAAATATAGAAAATTAAAAAAACTATTAATAAAAACTCTTACTGCAAAAGTTTTTTCAAATTATTAATCCTAAATAACGTTACTTATAAAAATATCTTTAAATTTACACTAATGTTGTATGGATATTAGAGATGTGTATGTGTTTTTTCAAACTTGTATTTCTCTCTATAGTTTTTTTTTATATTTTTATGGATATTTTAGATATATACGTGATTTCTTAAATATTTATTTATGCGTGTATTTTTTATATGTTTGTAGATATGAGATGTATATGTGATTTTTTAAACATATAAGAGAACTTAAAATAAATACATGATTTCTAAATCTTTATACAAACTAAAGGCGAATGCATTTCCTTATACATTTGTAAAGACTAACAATAGTATGATTCATAAATTTTTGTTATGCGAATATATAATTGATATTCCTTCGTAAATACTCATACTTATTACTTTATTTTT